TGACCTTTCAATGGACATTGATCCAGTAGTTGATGGACTATTTTTTAACGACTCTTGTTGATTTACAGCCTTTACTACTGAATAAATACTAAGTGATCTGGTCAGTTTACTGCCAAGCCAAAACAGGATCTCTTCTACGGCTCATGTCTTGTCGACATGCTCACTTTAATTCAATATTTTTGCGAATGTGCTTTCAAATTTAATGCTGATTTCGTATGATGTCATACGAATTTATGTGGTGTCTCTGTGCCTTGGAAATTGATATAACGCATAATGTTGATCATGGCTTTTTGTTATCAGTTGCAAAATATTTTCCCGGGAAGTGAGTAGATTATCTCTTGAACATTGTGCACCGTATTTCGGTAGTGATGGTGTTAGATATTTGTATTCTGAAGGAAATTACTGACTTCAGTTTTGTATTGTTTTGTGTTGGGTCATTCAAGTACTGAGTCTTTCGATTTGTGATACGGTGCTTTTTTTGTAACTTTGATTTAACTTTCTTTTTCAGTTCCAACTTTTACTGGATATTTGTAGAGTAGTTGGAATTTTTTCTTCTTTTTTTTTGATGATATACTGGTTAGTTCTCGCGCAGCTGGTAGAACTAATAGAATAACAACAGCAAATCCAATCAAAGTATTTCCATTTTAGGCTTGGCAGCTTATCTTTTTTCGCAGTTCAGTTTTTGTTCTAACTTTGCATTCTGTGTTACGGCGGTTTTTTCCGGTGTACTTGATAAAAATGTTCAAACATTTTCCTCTAATTTTCAAAATAATGAAATATTCGGCTCTTCGTCATTTTGGGACTCTCTGTAAAATTTATTGCTTCATTTATTTATATCTGAATGTTTATATTTGTAGCATCTGTCTTTGCTTCTTTCAAACTTTGAGATTTTTTTTACTGCGCACGATTTAGCTGCAGCATCATTGAAAATTGTTGAGTGGATATTCACCTGGCATCTGAAACCAAGTCTTACTGGTCTCTTGTGGATATCGAGTGCCACTAGTTTTTGTATTGTTGGTTGAAAGGCCTTGCTATTAATATTTTGATTACGTCTTTGTTCAGCAGCTTGCAGCTGTTATCGATCATTTTGCGTATTGATCACTGAAAGAAGTTTTTGGTTTTCCTTGTTTCTCAGCTTTTCATTGGGGCCATTTTGTACTGTAATATACTAATCAAATAAACGCATCAATTATGAGTGTTCCGGCGTTACTCATGCAGCGGATTATGTTCGTGGGAATTTGTCGTAGCCGAAAAAGAGTTTCAGAAGAATTTAAAAAAATGTGCGACTGCAGGATTTGAGCTGTTTTGATGGTGTGCTTGAGATGTTTTAAGAAATGCGGAGTAGTTGAATACTTGAAAAGGAGATAGTTCTTGAGATGACCTGGGGCGCTACAATATGTTAGCATGTTGTTAACTGTTTTACATGAATTCCTGCTGCAGATAGCACTTGCCTACCCAATGTGTTTGTTGTCCTAAGAAGGGACTGTGGGCAGTTTCCTATCTGCCAAGCAAGACAGTTTGCAAGAACTTTCCTTTAACTTTTGACTAAAGTCTCTATTTCTTGAAGGTGCTCCTACGGCTGTCTGTGATGACGACTTTGCAAGGTAGGAATGCGGATCTCTTTCAAATAGAAAAATGGGGGGAGCAGGATCTTGTCGATCTGAGAGTGGGGACTAAGAAGAACGACCACTAAAGCTGGTAAACAAAAACAGACCAAAAAAACATGTTAGCTTATTTAAGTAACCTCTTTCTTTTTTTTTTTTCTTGGAACAATATATCTAATTCTGTGAATATTATTGGTGCTTATTTCGTGATATATTCGTTGCAGGATTCCTTCAACTTACTGAATTGCAACTATGGCTTGATTAAAGTAGTTCAAAAGATTATCTTTTAAACCAATGCACTGTCAGTGAACATTGAAATTTATTCTTCAGTGATGATCTCCCCAATTTCATAGTTCTCTTAGTCATGAAATTTACTGATTGAGATTGCGTTTCAATTCAAGCTATGAAAGGAATCATTTACTGCTTGCATTAAATTCTTACCAATCTTATAATAAACAGTTCATAGTTTCTATCATTTGTACGTCATTTGAAATCTCTAGCAGAACCTGTAGCTAAAGGGATCAGCGGGAGGATAAGGGAACTGTAGGTATAGGTTTGCCGGTGATTTCATTTACTGAAGAAGGGAGTGCTTATAGATGATTTACACGCTAAATCCGGAAAATTCCGCTTTAGTTGATGCAGACAAAAGCTGTCAGCTCCTCTTGCTTGATTCATACACGGTGTCCCAAGTGTCCCACTTGGCTTCTTAATGAACACACATGCTTTTCAGTCTCTATCTACAAATGCGCGCATAATAACACATGCGTCTGTCACGCCCACTCCTCTCTAATCTCAACCACAGATTCTTGGATCTTCGTTACAATAGCTCATGGAACATTACAAGCCGAGATACAAACTTCCCGGAGTTACACCGAAACTAACTGCTCGAAGTACATTTCAAATTACACATTTCTATCTACTTTTTGCTCCATGGTCTGCTGCTTTATCATGTTTTCGTTAGTATTTCAGCTCCCGCATAATTAGTGACCGCCCCGAACCGATTTTTGTCTGCGCGTATGTATGTGTGCATGTGTATGCGAGTGCACTATGAAGACATGTAAGAATTCCACAACCCACATGAAAACCCAATTTAAAGTTGTTTACAAGTTCCATTTTGCAACCATTCGTTTGTTCATCCAATCAGTTTGTCGGTGTAGAGGAAATCTGTTTGCAAAAAAGGTGCACTTTGCCGACAAACGAAAGGAAATGAGCATGAATGGATCAGCTACACTACTGAATGGATTCCCTAGCGATTCTCCTGGGAGAGCAGGGAGAAATATGCAAGGGGTCGAGTCCAAGCTGAAATAAGTGTGAGCTCCTCTCTCCTCCTCATCCCTTTGTATATGTATGTGTGTGTACGTAATTTTTACAGACAGAGATGTCCTTTATTGAACAAAGAGAAGATAAATAGATGGTGAAGGATCCAAATTGGGAATAGCAAGGAAAGAACAATGACAATGACTAACACTAGTAACATGGGTTCATTCGTTCAGCAAAGGAGCAAAGAACAACACCGGGTAAAACAAGGTGGATTATTCACGAACAAGTGAACGAAAGAATCGAATTCCTCTGAATCGTCTAAAGAATGCCGGAGTGCTATTCTTCCCTGCGCAAAAGCTCAGCGAAACAGCCGGAAAAAAAAAGTGGAATAAGTCATTCATCTGTCGATAGAGGGACTATCGTGAAAGGTTTGTCTGGTTGATACTCGAATAATTGTAATACAGCAGTAAGATTAATAAATCTTTAATTTTATTTAACGTATTATCAGTAACCTGAACAATAGAAATAGACCTTATAAAATCGGAGGAAATTTAGCTTGGTGATGAGCGATTATAGTCGACAATAATGACAATGATTCCTTTTTGTTTATTAGAATTGAATTTATATGAGTGAGGATTGGGCGTGTCTAGGATAAAAATCACATGTGTGAAGAATTCGAGGTGTTTACAAAGAAGAGATTAAAATGAAAGCTAATTTCAATTTTACATAAAAATCATATGTGTGAAGAATTGGAAGTGTTTACAACGAAAAAAAATTACATGCATGAAGAATTGGAGGTGTTTACAAAAAGGAGATTAAAATTACATGTATGAATACCGTAGGATTGTTTACAATTTAAAAAAGAGAGATGTTTTATGATACTATGAAATTAGTTAGAAGTTTTCGCGAAATTATAATTCGCGACAGGGACTAATCATCGGTATCACCGAAGCTAGTTTAGCGTGATGAATTAATGCTATGGCGATTAACGCATTAGACTGAACTGGGAAAGAAACATGTCTTGAGTTAACTGGACAGATTATGAGCTCTAAACCCAATAAAACCAATCAACAGCACATCATTTTAGATTTGTTCAAATTTTACAAGTAGGTGGAAGTGATATAAAGAAAGTAATAAGATCGCATGAAACCACACAATTTATCAGCGTTAGTCGGGGAATAACTCTTCCTATTCTTCAGTACTGATCTAAAAGTCAGCAGGATATTTCTTCATGTTATGATTGCTATTCTAATAATTCACTTTTTGCCACATCGATGCTTCTCGTCTATCTGAAGGTTGTTTCTATTCTGGAATTCTTCGTCTAAAGATGAATTCAAAGAAAAGCTACTTGCATACGTACATACGAAAATACGACTTCGCAGTTATAAGTCAGCAGTTCATGATACAAGCTTCATTTTACGACAAAAAAGCAAGTCCGAAGACAATCAACAATTGCGCTTTCACCACAGATATAGCTATCTTCTGGGTCGAAGAAAGAAAGAAAAGACCGGACAATGCATGGACGCTATTATTTCAACGCAAAAGGTGGTCCAACACCTACAGTATCACACATGAGACATGAATCACATTATCATCCCAGCAGACTCACAATAACTATAAATAGTCGCTGTGTCCACTCAGCGCTCCTTTCGTGCCAGTTTACTTAGAAAATGGATTAATGATGAACAGTCTTGTTGTTTGTAGTATGTAATGATATGACGTACAATTAAAGGTCGCTCGAGATACATGAGATTAATTGATTAGGAACAGATGACTGCTCTAATCATCATCATCCCCACATTTCGTGCATTTCGGTAAAATAGGAGGGCCTTAGGAAAAATAGTGTTGGCTCTTGTTAGCGGGAAGGAGGGCAGTGGTCATTTTCCTCAAGAATTTCTCCACTGCATTATTTTAATTTTCTAACTGAAACATTACTTACAGCCATTAATGATAATCCATGCTGAAAAGCTAATCGCCTCTTAGGCAATAAGCTATGAGATTTAAATAAGAATTGGAACTTAATAGAAATTATTTGTGTGTTGCTTTTTTCTTTTTTCTGAAATATATATATGGATAACAACAACAGCGAATGACCAGTAAGCAAAGAAATCACTGATATTTTGGGGAGAAGGTTGCTTACACCCACTCTCCTCCTTCAACAAAACATCCGGCGATTGACCCTATCTGTTGTACCGGTGGCATAACACGTTCTTGATAACTGTATGGTAAACTTATGAGCTGCTTTGTAACGCATGTAGAACAGCTTGAATCACAAGCCTAAATCTTGTTTGAAGCTTTAAATCTGATTTGTAAGTCAATTTTTGGACGTTATTATAAAACTTATCTATTTACTGTACATGTCCAATTTACTGAGTTGTGCAATCTAATTTAACTGTTGAACACTGTGTTGTAAATATCATGTAATCTTTATGACGTAATAACTCACTTTAAGCGTTATCGTACGTATCCATTCAAATGTAAATAGGTAAAAAATGGCAAGAGCGAGTAATATGTTCAGTAACGCATTGAAGTACGACTTGGGTGTTGCGGAAGGTTCCAGGTCATTTAAATGGTTGATATAAGAGGTTGCCGCATAGCAGTCTGATGAATACAGTACTGCTATTAATAGTAACCACCTGAAATACAGATTCATGCTGCCAACAGATTCATGATTTTCTGAATTTCAAAGAATTTGTTGATACATGGGAAAATACATAACCAAGATTTCTCCTCCAGATGCATTATTTACCTGAGGAGTCGTAAACCTGAATTAATTTCAAAGATCCAAATCTAAAACTAATTCTACTTTGAGATGGAATATAACTTTTCAAAACCATAAAGCTTCGTCATACTGGATAACTTAAAAGTAAATTTCCTCACAAAAGTTGTATAGTTGCGGCGTTTGCCATTTTGTTCAATTCAGCAGATGCAGTCGCATTTCTAATTTGTGTGTTTTCTTTAGAACTTTTGTTGTCCACATATTCTGAAACGACTCTTCAAGATTGTTTAATTCTATCAATATAATACGAAAATAGTACAGGCAATGAACTCCCAAAACAACTTAAATATCTGTGGGTCTGAGCCAATGACCGGTTGTTACTAAAAATCGGTAAGATACACGGAAGTTTTAATTGTGTTAGAAATACTCTTCCACGAGTTGTTAAATTAAACAAAATGATTCAAAACTGCGACCCTTTCCCGAGAAAGTTTAATGACTATTGCTTTAGTGTGCTTTCGTGCATTCAGCAACGGAAGCACAATATTTTATGGTTTGCAGCAATAATTAGTATTTGCAAAAAAGTCTGATTTGCAATAAAACTGCACATTAATGCTACATGTGCCGTAAAGGATATCGCAAATTTCAGTACGGAAGGCTTGTAAACTTTGATTATAATTAAATTTTATCATTAATAGACTAACGTTGAGATATAGATTCAACGGATATGCGCTTAGCTGTAATAAGTAGACGCAAGATGACAACAATAATCGCCATTATAAGAATGGAACAAATAAGCAGGGGTGCATAAACGGCATACGCGAATACTTCACTATGCATCTTTGAAGAATGAAAGTAGCTATAAATTTAAAATTTCACAACCCGAACTTCAATTTTAGCCAGTTTTTAATGACAGATTGAACTAAGCAGAACAACAGCTTTAATCCTTGGTCATTTTCGAAATCAAGTCCAAAGAATCTAAAAAGTAAAATGTTATAAACTGATTTTTCAAAACACTTTGACTGAATCTTACAATTTTGGTGATCCGTCGTGTGGTAAGGTACCAGTAGCCAACACAGTTGACATGGCAATCAGCGGAATACCGTAAGCGATGAAGTACATTTCCATAATTGCTCCATATAATGCTACCTACAATAGCCACTTTTCCATGATCTGGACGTTTTAAATACTAAAAATGCTGCAAGCTTCTTTCAGCATAAACTAATTTCGTAAAATGAATATTGTAAAATGTAAAATGAGTACACCTTTTCAACTTCTGCGTGTACTTTCTCATCACTTTTGCTTCGACTGTAATCTCGTACTATTCTTCTAAGTTTCTCTTGTAACAATCTAAAACTTGAATTTCATTCAATTTTTAATTATTAGATTGTAACTGAACTGCATATGAAACTTATCATTAAAAACTCTTGCCTAATTACTATTTCTGTAATACCTAAAAGCTTGCATAATCCAGAAGTAAACAGCAAGAAAAAAGAAATATTGAACGATAATGACTGCTCGACATGTGTGCGGATCAAAAATTTCGTTGTGAATAAACGAATGTAATATGCACTGTACAAATATACAGGTACACATATTAACAACCACTTGTTGACTCCTTTGTGAACGACAGTTAGACGCACTGAAATTTATTTGGAAATAATTTCAGGACCAAAAACTTAATTGAACTTTTACCATTTCATTAACAACTATTAAGAAAGCAGTAAAAGCAAACAGCATAAAAAAAATAGAAATCGAAATAAGTACACGTTGATAATAACGGTCAAAAGCATTATTGAAGCCAAAAAACCGGATGATGCACATATATACCATGTTAATTTCATTGGTTTTCTTGCTGAGATAATTCTAAAAATAGGTTGAATTCTGCACTTTCTTGCATTTTTAATCTTAAATAATAATTTATTTATTTTAGCAACTGTACCGTTACAAAAGTATTGCAGACTTCTTGAAAATCTTTGAAAATGAAAATCTAAAAATCACTTGATCATTAAAGTATGTTTCTTGTTGAAGACTGTAATATTTTTCCTCATTAGTTAAGTAATTCTGTCACTATATATTAAGAAAGCAACAAAAACAAATAACACTAATAAAAACAGAAAATTAGTAAAATACCTCCTAAACTTTATAATTAAATGATTTATTGGACTTACAGTTCTTCATATGACGTATTTTGCATAGCTGCAAAATATTTGATGTTTTCATCTACATTCTTGATAAAAAACATTCGGGAACAAGTAAACAGAATATTGTTTGGTTCCACTTTTCGCAGTAAACAATTTGTTTCTTTGGTTAGTTTCCATCCCTCTTCATCATCCCATACACCCAACTGAATCTGAAAGATAGTGAAGCCAAAAAGTTACAGTTTAGCTTCCTTATATCCAGATGCAACAAGAACTCTTTTCATTTCACTGCCTTATGACAACCTTGTAATATAAACCAAAACAGCATTCAATAATTACCGGAAGACATTTCACAGTTATTTTACATATTAATAAATTAGTCTGTCACTTGGAAAGTAGTGTCAGTCTTTTTGTCTATTTGCATTATTATTATTTTCATCACCGATGTACACGTTATGGCACGCTTATATCAAAAATTTATATCAAAAAAAAATTTTTTTTTTGAATTCCAATAATATTCCCATTTCTGTAATAAATTCCTTAGATGAACTCCAAGATGACATTGACATTTTACTACTCATATCTTCTAATATTTTCATAGTATTCGATGAGTATTTTTTAATTATTGGAAGAATAAAGCATACCTCATTTGCTGTCTTATTTGTTTGATAATTGATTAAAAATCCATAAAAATCATCATTCTTCCTGACCTCTGCTGCCTAAAAACAGAAGTATCAAAATTCATCCAAACACAGTATATTTACTATAAAATTGACAAAACGTTGGATTTTGAATAACGAATCAAAACAATCTCTATTGAATTAACTTTTTATGACACAAGTTATGTACCTCGTCAACAATATTGCTTGATTTTGAAGACCTGATAGGAATGTGTTTCATGGCGACACCATATACTTCACTCATGACAGTCCATCTCCCATCTGAGGTATGTTTACTTTCAAAAATTTTTGAATTGGATAGCCATAATACTCGAACAATGGTTAATGATGGAAAATGATCAATTGTGTGACGAGGAATGCGAAGTGATGCTCCACCTATAAATTAGTAATTTCAATTTTACTCCGAATCTAAAGCTGTTGTAAATCTAAGTCGAATTGATAATCTTAACCTGTTTTCGGTAGTAGCTCAACGAACTGCTGTTCACGACATGAAAATTTCGAACCATCATGTAAGGTTAAGAAACCACCCTTCATAATTTCAGCCGGCGTACCATCATAACCTTTAGCAAACAAATGTTGACATATTGCTAAATTATCTTCCTGGATAACTTTATCACCAAGGAGCAGATGTTGCAGGTGCTGGCGCATTAGTTTACCTGAACTGTTTTAAAATCTTAGAAGCATTTTCAAATATATTTTCATTCACACTTTGGAATTCATAACTCGTTAAACATCAAGGAAAGCTTTTAACTCTGATTTGCTATAAATCTAGAAAGTTGGACATAAGTGATTTCCCAAAAATGAGTATTTGCAGGATGTTCTAGTGACCATCGAATGACCCATCCTTAACAAACTGGACCTCATTCGGCATATAAAAATTTCTGTATATCATTATGCAGAATTTGTGAAATATAGCTCTTATTTCATTCTTTCCATTACTTATAAGCAAAGTTTTTGCGAATTCGACTTTTATGGCATCTAAATCCAAAAATGATCTAACTACTTTAATCGTCGCTAAAAAATAACATGTATGGGATGATAATAATATCTTTTAGGAGGAGAAAGACATCGGTTGATAATTTTTCAGTGCTTCCAGTAATTTAATATTATAAGTGGTCCGAGCTTGTAGCAACGAAGCGGAAAAAGAAAGCTAATTTCGACAATTTCACTCATTAGTAAATGGTTTTCTTTTGGCTAAGGAGTCGTCATCGTGTACTGTAGCTTAAATATGTACTGAATAGTATAGGGTTCTTTCATTCATTATGCTTGTATTGTTTGGTGATTTTGAAAAATGGGACTATGTTTCACTACAGTGATTACTCGGCTTGATTTTTTTTTTAAAAAAAGTGTAGAAAAAAAATTGCGGAATTGAAACAGAAGCTTTTAAGAGCCAGGAACAGTAAGTATGTATGTATTTTTTAAGAGACAGTAACATAAGAACAGTAAAATTGCTGTGGGTAATTCCTATGAATTAATTTACTTTGGAAATAGCGGAATATTTATCAAATAAGGAAACTAGGCCGTATTTCCTATTCCACAAAAGTATCTTATGTTCCAAAATTCGAAACAGAAGAGAGATAAAGAAGAGATTTGCTGATTAAATAGTTTTTATAAAAATTTCATAAATTCCATTTTTTATGAAAGTCTAAAGCTTAAGTGGGTAGTCTTTCATCACTATTTTCTTAGGACTTTATATTCAGATCCAAAAAAAAAAAAAAAAAAAAAAAAAAAAAAACTTTAACTTAGCTATTTTAAATTTTCGCAAATTAACAGCAAAAGAGCAACTATCACCGTTAAGCTCAGTGCGAGCAAATTCAGACTGTAAAACAAAATTCAATGCAGCTAGCATCTGTCGACTGGATAAACCTGTTGCATTACCAATCAGCCAACCAACAAGACGAGTTTCATAGGCGGACATTTCGAATGGCCGCCTCGTTATTCGAAGTAATTCGTCCATATACTGGAAAAGATAAAGATTGTGGATTCTTCTGTAGAATGTTTAGATCTTTGACAAGGCAAAGTAGATAATTCATTAAAGCCTTAACGAAGACATTTTTGGTTGCTTGTTCAAATTTCATCCTTTGCAACAACATCCTTCAAGTATTTTCTCATCATTATTACTCAAAAATTATAAGGTAGACAGAAACTATACGTACCTGAGACGTTCGTTTATGTTGTAACAGAGTTAGGAAATATTTAATTAGCGGAGAAGTGTAGGCACATCGACTTGTGTCTGGTGTTTCCCATTTACCGTGCTTACATCGCCGATATGCTTTCGCATTTGTTGGACCGTTGGGACATTTCGCCGTAACTAATCCTTGCTTAGAAACTGCCCAAATTATTTCACCTTTTTCATCTGCTTGCCATTCCTGAAAACTTTAATGTTTAAAAATCTAAAGTTGAAAATTGTATTTTCAACTACTCATAACTGGAAAAATACCTGTACACAGTGAACAGTGTTAACTAACACTGGTGTCATACGTACTGTATTTCTTAACGCCGATCGATCCTGTTCCACGTAGCAGGTCCAATCACCTTCGTCTTCCCATGTTACCGGATTCAAACAGAGTTTCAGATATCTGAAATTTTAGAACAAATCAGTTTTGAAGGAAAAAATTTTAATAAATGGAATTTCTGCACTTTTAATGCATGTCAAATAAAATGATGCATTTTGAAAAACTTTCATAAACAATCTCAGTTTAAAGAGAGGATTCAGTTTCTAAAATACTTCTCTCCCACTCCATCAGAATAGTCGAATTTTTATACTTTGTTGCAGCTATTTTTTAGGCTTTCTAATTTAAGGATAAAGAATTTTTTGCAATAACTACCGATATGCATGTCAATTATTTCTGAAATGATGTTGGAACTAGAAGAGAAAGTTTAAAGCGATCAAAGAAAGAATAGGCGGATGGTCTGGCAAATTGAAAATATTTCTAATTTTCTATATAATATTCCACTCTATCGCATGAATTTTTCGCATATATACTATAAAGTTACATACAGAAATTCACTATCATTATAATGCGTGGTGAATAAACGTGAAGAATCAACCAAGGGAACGTTATTTTTCAGCCATTCCATCCGCACGTCGTTAGCTTTAGATACTTTACATGTGACGTTCTTTTCATCACCCGGATACACGACTATTGAACGTGTAGTAGGCTCCAAATCGAACACAGCTGGATTAAAGTTGCCTAAAACTTTTTATGACAGGATACAGTTTTTTCCGCTCTTTAATTTTAAAATGTTTTGGTCACAAATCTACCTTTCCCACAACTTCTTTTTAATGCTTTCGCATTCAACCCTGCAACTTGCATTCCGCGCAATGAATGAGGAAATATGCACACCGTCCGATTTGAAACTTGCACTTGATGATCCTGAAATTAAACAGTATTTACTGTCGCAAATGTTCATTGGAATTTAAAGAAATCGTTTCACAAACTTTAGCGTCATATGCAATTTCCTTTAAATTAGGTCTGAAATAAAGCGGATGAGAAAGAGATTTTTTGCTCAACCTTAATCAAGCGAAGCAAGTCGACTATTTGACAGTCACATGATAGTTGATTCGACATAATACTTATTTTACGAAGTTTGCTAAGCGATGCAAAAGTCCCATCCGGAAACGAAGAGAGCGGATTTGAATCCAAATCCAGCTCCTCTAAGGATTCCAACTCAACAAATGATAGGCGATCAAGTGCATGTAATTGGTTGTCATTCAGTAAGCTGAAGAAAAATTAACTTATTATTATATAAGGGACTTTAGACCTTTTTTCCGACGATAAGTTAATTTATGATAACTAATACTGGAATTAATGAAATAATTCCCTTGAGGTTAATAATGACCTAACAATTTCCTGTAGGTTTCAAGTTTTAATCATAACTTATCCTAATCATAACTCGAAATACAAGACATTCAGGAATATAATATAATTATAAAAAATAGAAAACGCAGTTTGGTAGGTACTTCGTAGCACTCACAGAATTTTAAGATTTGATAAAGTTTTGAAGGCACCAGGAGATATGAACATGACTGCATTGTGAGATATATCCCTGGAAAAGTGATTTTTCTTGTGGTATCTAAAAATAAAGGAATTATTTAAAAGTTTTTCCATGCAAATGAAGATTCAAACAATTTGAAACTTACAATATTTCAAGGGTTTCTGGATGTCTTAATGATGAAAAAGAACTGGAATTGATTGATCTGAAAGCGTTCCCACTCAAATTCAACAAGTATACCTGACCTCCAATAGTGCTTGGATAAAATTCGGAGGTAGATGCTTTCAGTTGTGCAGTTTGCGCAATTTTCTGGAACAATCAGACAAAATATTTGTGTTGAAGAACTTTTACAATTCAAATTTAACTATTTTCTTCTAATTCTTTTCATTTCGCATTTTTTATAATAATACAGTAGGCTAATTTATGAAGGGGAAAAGTGCAAAGAAGACTTACGTCAAGATTCAGTCCAGAACAGTCTACTATAGCGGTATCTACTAAATAAGAGCACCGAGTCCAGTTACAATGTATCAGTACTGTAAGCTCAAAAGCGCAAATGGCAAAAAGACAAGTGAACTTGTTGAATCTTTTCATCTGAATCTTTCAGTAGTTGAATTACGATAATTCTGGAAAAAGAAATAAAAGACATAAAGAACTTCTGAAAGTTGCAAACATAGCTGATAGCATACTTGACGAAATAAATGGAGTGTAATTACTTTTAAAACGGGGAAACTTAAGCTTTCTTACATGGCAACAACTATCATCCAAGCTCAAACTTTCCTATTATAAGTTATTATTATTGTTAAAGTTTTTGCTTGCTTTGAATTTATAAATTGGTAGCGAACAAAATTGAAACATGTTAGTAACATTTTCATTAAAGAAGCAGCCGATTTGATAATTTAATTAATTAATTAATGAAGAAAGATGGATGCCAGGAAAAAGATATCTACAACACAAAGTAGTCGTTCTAATCCTTCAGTGATTGAATGACTTGAAAATTTTATGATTTTTGATAATATTGAACAAATTTTGAGTTGAAAAAGTCATCCAATGTTTGATCAAATTAAAATATACAGATAAATGAACAATAAAAAAAATACGCAGACCGACAGGCTAATATAATTTGCGCATGAGAGATTAGAATCAGGAGAATTTGTGCTGTAAAGCTACAAAGACGTAAAGTTGCGTCTTTCAACGTTCACTGTAACTGGTACGCCAAACATCGCTGCTGTAAAAAAAGCTTTGTCAGATAAAGAAGTGCTCCAAAATGGCAACATTTCTGCGGAGGGATAGTATCATTTGCATAAATCATTGCACTTTTGGGTTGAGTGGCGCACATTAAGGAAGAAAATTCACCCATCAGTTCAAGAAAAGCAAAAAGAGGACTAAAATGCCAGCTTCAAAAAAGAATTCTACTTTTTTCCATAATCAAATTACTCCATCCCCCCTTCGTTGTTCCTCCTTTGTGTTTTGGTTCTGATGAATATTTTGCCTCTTTCGTTGAAACACTTTCTCAACCGAAGCACCTCCCAACGTTATTGAAAATAAATTTTTAATAAGTTTTTTAAATTTCCACATTTGATGGTATTGATCTCAACTGTTGTCTTCAGACAACATTTTAAATTTTAGATTATGAATTTTCTATTTGATTCTCTTTTTGATCCACTTCTAAGGGATCCGCTTTGTATATATTGGAAAATTATTATCATCTCGGTTAGAGATAAATTTCTACAAAATTGTATCTAAAAATCCAATCATGTGTGCTAGCCGATAAATTCAATTAAAATCGGCAATTTCTCGGGATTTTTAATTGATGAGCTGCGTCTTTTTTCCTTTAATTGATCCAAAATGGGTAGCCTTCTAAAATTAATGATTAATTGAATTTATCGGCCAGCACATATGAATTTATTAATTAAAAAATCTAAAAGAATTCGAAGGATTTATTAATTAAAAAGTCAAAAAAAAAATGACGAGTCGTTGGCTCACAAAACCTATATAACTATAGGAATCTAGTTTTTTTCTTTTTTTTTGAGGGATAACAAAGACGAATAGAACCATTAATCTAGACATTTCTCAAAACACAAAGCCATCTTTGTCTGGTACTCATTAATTTTAGAAGACTATCCATTTTGGATTAATTAAAGAAAAAAAGACGCAACTTTGCTCATTAATTAAAAATTCCAGGAAATTGCCAGTTTTAATTAATTGATTTTATCGGCTAATTTCTTTTATCGTGTTTGAAATAATTCCTCACACAGTAACCGAAATTGCAGAGATAATGTTGAAAATTGTAGACTACTTTCATCTCACTAAGTCGAACAAATTCGCAGCAATATTCGTGTCAAAATAAAAAACACTTCCTTTGCATGCATTGAAATTTAAAATATCTCATCACTCTTAATATGCATTGCGTTCAATATAAGTGAATCTTTTACTTGGATAAGTTCATATAATTTGGAAAACTTATAAAATTTCGCAGAATATAAATTCTTCCGTATCTTGTTCCTTAATAAATGAACAAATAAATTATCTTAAATGTTGACGATCAGCTTAATCACCATTATACAAAAAGATCAGTTTCTCCTTTCAAAGAGATTCGAATTAGATGTACAAGGTTCAGTCCTTTCCACAATTTAATGTGAAATTTATTTGCTCGTTTACTACTTGCTCATTTACCTGCCCATTTGCTTCTTTATTCGTTCATTATCCAGCGATCGCACACGTCAGAAGCAGTGGTATGTATGTACATGCCATTCATATAACCCTAAAGAAAAATAAAAAAGGGCGTTGAAAGGGTAGCAAACTGACTTTGACACAGAAACTACTACTACTAACAGAAAGAATTGAATTGTGAGAAGGGAGATAACCCACCCAAAACCCTTACCTGCGGACAACAACAGATCGTCGATAGACATGCCTTCGAACCAACTGCACACTACCATGCTGCTTCTCATTTTAGGTATGTGTTTTTTTTTTTATTAAGAAATGCCGATGGATTTACTTCGAAAAAAAAAAAAACATACACACACACACACACCAGATAAGAAGTTTTATGACCTTTAAATGAATCGGCAATTACTCAATACGTTCCAATTATAAATGAATTTGATAAAGGTAATTATTCCAAAACAACTAAATAAATGAGCGCTTTCTAAATGCATACTTAAACATTTTAATTAACATCTTTTCATGACGAGTTCATTTTATTTGATGTTTTATTTAACAGCTGAAAACTGCTGCTAACCAAAATTTCCGAAGTTTTATTCGCATAATGTTAGTATTTTAGTGTATACCACAATGTTAAACTTCATATTTATTTACCGAGATCTATTTAGCAACTTTCGAATTCGTTTTTTCTACTGAGCAAAAATTCTTTTTGTCGCAATATGTTTCCTACTTTACAACGATACTCTGCTCAATCCTGTTTAATTCAAAAATTTTAATTCATGATAGCTATTAGTCAAAATTTGGTTAAAAGCTTTTTTGATTGATATGTTTTTAAGCAATTTTACTTCCTTAAGAAAATTTCCTAAAATTTAAATGCTTTAGATAAGGCTGATACAACATAACTGAACCATTTACTGCTTCACCGTCAAAAATTTTCTTGTAACATTGAGATAGTTTTAAATTATGAATTCGTGGATCATAAATAGCAGTTTGTCATTCACACTTGACGATTAATAATTGTTTTTTGGAAAAACTTCTCAATTTTTCATATTTCAAAAAAGGTGAAATTCGAGAAATTTATAAATCAGAATGTTGTTTTATCTATGTTATCAATTATAACAAAGTATTTGAATTCCTTTCACTAGTGAACAACTGATTCGCAGAAGAAACTACGTCCCAAATAATGAAAACAATGGTATGACTTTTCATCCAATATGATCCAAAAACATAAATCAATTCAGCATTGTTTCATCAGTGCAATTGTCCCATACAAATATATATGTACATGCATACCTACATTCGTGTATACATAGATGCATGCATGCGTAATCATAAACGCGTACAACATACATACTCATTCACGTTAATAAGAGATTATTGCAATCCTGACTTATTCTGCTGTTGATGAACAGAAAACTGGTCCTGTTGATCTTCTAGTTCAAAATTTTATTCGGATTTGCAATTAAGTTGATACTTGTTGTATACACTTATCAGTAAGGAAGCACGTTATCTTTGTATGTTACACTTCGTATTATGTTTTAGGTAACATGTGCTTCATCGGTGCAATACCAAGTACAGTGTTCCGTTCAAAACGACAAACATACGTTTATGATGAGTCATTGAAGCAATATGCAAGACCTCATCCAAGAACAAGGATTATGACCGGTACGGTTGGACGATACGCACCGCATGAATGGCCTGATTGGTAAGTATATACAGTTTCGAATAAGTAATTAGTTTTAAACATTCATGTTTCTTTCAGAGGCTAATTCTTGAATTCATTTTCTATGAAAAGAAATTGAAGTACTTCTCTAAAGCCAAATCCAGAAAGCATTTTAAAATGAAAATTGGAATGAGTTGAAGAAATAAATGGTCGCGATGTTGTATTCTGGGATGAATATGATACAGACGAAATGTAGTGATATAGAACCCTCTGTCTGATAATTTAACTCAAAGAGATGTTGTTCTAAGATTAGTACGATCTGAACCGGGAGTCAAATGCTTGATTAATATATATATATACTTTTAATAACAATGTTTTTGGAAGATAAAATTAATTTAGGTACACACGCACTTTATTTAAATGGAATGGAGAGTTTCGTATGGGACCATATCATCCAAACGATGTCCGTTATGAAAGATATCAACGTTCTAGAAATTAAGGTCTGAATATTAACAAGCTGCGACTATTGCAGTTTTTCCAATACTGCAGCCACTTTGTCTTGATGGTGCAGAATTTTAACTTGTCACGTTTATTTCTTATTTCTTTCCACAGTAATATGAAAACTCCATTATATTTTAGGTGAACTTACGTATCAATTAAATAGTGAGGTAGTAAGAATTGCTTATCATTTTATCTTATTGGTTAATTTGATGATTTGATAGTCGAAATGCTATTTGTATAATTGTGATTAACTCACTCTGTTGTAAGTCGTTTGTATGATTAATTCATTTGAGCAAAACAATGTATACCAAATCTACGTCAGGATGTTTTTATCCATTATAATTTCAGTTAATTTTATTTGAAAAGTTTTATCTGCTAGATTATGGCAGATTTCAATAAATATTTGGGTAAATTAATGAACAGCAAGCTGAGAATCAAATATTTATATCAGTTTGAGAAAATGTCTCACAAAAGGTGAAAGATGCAATATGTAAACTATAATTAATTTTTAATTAATTTCTGTTAATCCATTATCACTTTTAAACTTTTTCATTTTCCGACTGCTTGTTCAGTAACTATGTCAAAAATTTTCAATTGGTGTTACCAGGATAGAAAATTTATTTTCTTTTGTTTGTTCACTTATAAATAAAGATTTAATAATTTTAACATAAGGAGTTGATGCAAAATTCAAAATAACGATTATTATTAGTTGTAACCAGAGTAAGCCATATATTTTGCAATGCAGTATGAAAAGGAAAAAGAA